TACATGCAAGTATGTGAATGTGCACATGCATGTGAGCATACACACACACACAGACACAGACACACACACCTGTAAGGAGTAAGGTTTTTCCTGCCGGCCTGGACCCACTGTGGCACCAGCCCCAATTAACACACAGAGACACTGTATTAGATATAATTCTGTTGGCCTGTTACTTGTTTCTTATCGGCTAGCTCTGTCTTAATTATTAACCCATTTCTATTAATCTAAGTACTTCCACGTGGTCTTATCTTACCAGAGAGAGAGGGCCAGTGGTTCTGTTCCCTCCCTTCTCTCCATGCTGACTCCTCCTTCCTACTTCCTCTTTCCTCCTTGTCTCCTAGTCCTTCCTATCTTGCTTTCCTATTGGCCAACAGTGCTTTATTCATTAGCCAGTATGAGAAACATATTCACAGAATGACATCTCCCATCACACATCAGTGTAACTTTAAAATTTAGGCCACTGAGAAGGCTCAGGGGTTAATGGTATGTGCTGTCAAGCCTAACAACCTGATTTTGATCCTGGAGCCCACATGATAAAAGGAAAGGGCAACTCCCAAAAGTTTTCCTCTGACCTCCACACTTGTGCACATGTGAGCAAAACCACACACACTCAAACTAAAAAAAGTGCCATTTCAAGATTTTCTAACTTAGAAAACAGAAGAAAATGAAATAAAATTTACCAGAATTTTTGGTACACATCTATGTCAGCTCTGAGAAAAATGTTTTAGTTATGAGTCCTTATATTAAAAAAAAACAGGGAGTGAGGGGAGAGCCTCCCAGTGCAGACCAATGCTATTACACTTGGTTAGACACCAGAACATGGTGAATATGGCACTGACTTTGGTCACAGGACTTGGAGAAATCAAGCTGATACTGAACTAAAAGCCTATTACTAGATTCCTGCTGCTAGCTTCCATAGTGCCACAAGGTGCTAGGCAGGCATCCAGGAGAGAACAGCCATAGTGACCCAGCTGTCAATCCTGCGAACTACAATAACAACTCATCTGGAAAGTTATGCCCATTGGTGTAAGTGTGAAATTAATATCTTCAGCAGGGGTAGCCAATGACTGACTGGCTGAATTTAAGGCATGCTCAACAGGAAATCTCATGCCTGATATGGTAAATATGGCAAAAAAAAATCCATGACTAGAGAGGTGATAGTGTCCTAGCAGAGAATCTTGTAGTATCATTCTGCTAAATTGTCATAGTATCTCACTGCCTTCTAAATACTTGCCCTTGTACCCTTAGATTAGATTAGCCCAGCTCACACTCCTTATCAGAGAAGCCTCTTTTTACAGTGGTGGAAATTATCGTGGAGTGCCCAATTATTGAAGTGCAGGTAATAAGTGACTATGCAGTACTCATCCCCAAATGGGCATCTATTTCATAGTCCCTGCCCATAAGGCTCAGGGAACTTCACAGAAGAGGGAGCAGAAAGACTATAGATCTAGAGCTTGGAGAGAGGGTAGCTTCAAAACTGTCTTCTGGATGACAGGCAGTTGCATTCATGAGCAGCTGCGGTTGTCTACACAAGATCTGCACAAGAAGAATCAAGTCAATATTACAGCACGATGGAAAGGAGCATGAATCAAAAGGTCTCACTCCTAATTGAGATGCTACAGGAAGTCCATGGCTGTCACAGGAGAGAAAGGTCAGTTTTCTTCAGAGGCCCCTGGTAGCTTGTCCATACTGTGATGGACAGCCCTTCTATACTCATGTGCTTTTGGGTAACAATAACTGGACTCAGTAGGTTTTATACATGGATATGTAAAATAATTATAACTAATAAATATCCATATTAAATTATTTGGTAGTAGTAGATTATGTTTAAAAAGCAGTAGATTCAAGATTGTATCCAGTAGTCACATATGTTTTCCTAGACTGTTCTCTTTGTCTATGAGCTTTGGAAATAAAATGATTTCGAAGTGAAAAAATTAGAGGTATCTCAAATAAATATCCTATTGATGTACCCTAGGGTCTAAGAAAAATTTGCATAATCCAAACCCCAAAAAGCAGTAGAAAGCAAAAAGTAATAAAGATCAACATAGAAATTAATAAAATAGAGACTTAGGGGAAAATACATAGGCTCAATCAAACAAAAAATTGGTTCTTAGGAGAAAAAAAAAAGATTGAGATCCATAACCAAATCAATCCCCCCAAATCTGAATTATTAAAATTGCAGAAGAAAGAGTAATTGTTAGACTACAGTGAAATCCAGAATCTCATTGAGAAATACTTGGAAATTTTCTCTTCTAAATATCTACAGTAGATAAGATGGACAGATTCCTATACACCTATGATGTATCAAAATTAAATTAAGATAATTTAAACAACTTAAATACACCCCAAGCAAAAACAGGATTCACTGCCAAATTCTATCAAACTTTTAAAAAGCCAATGCTAACATTTCTCAAACCATTCCATCAAATATGAAGTCAGTGGATACTACAAAACTCATTCTGAAAAAATAAAATTACCCTGACACTGAACTGAATAAGAACACAACAAAAAGAGGAAAGTATAGACTAATTTCCATGGTACGCATAGATGCAAAGATTCTCAATAAATGTCTTACAATCTGTATTCCAGAACACATTAAGAAGATCATATACCATGGCTAAATTGTTTCAATTCTGCATAAGCAAAAAAGAAGTGTAATATAGCAAACAGAATTAAGGACTGAAACTATGTTATCATCTTATGTGCCAAAGATCTTCCAGAAAATTTGACATCCCATCTTTCATGATAAAGGCTCCAAAGAAACTAGAAATAGATGGAATATACCTCAGTCCAATAAAGGAAAAGGCATGTGACAAACCTATGGTTAACATTATACTGAATAGCAACTAAACTGTGATTGTTTTAAAATCTGAAATAAGACAAAGTGTGCACTATCTCTTTTCTTATTAAATATAGTTCTTGATGTCTTAGCTGGAGAAAGAAATAAAAGCTATACACATAGGAATGGAAGAAGTCAGACTATCCTTATTTTCAGATGGCATGACCCTAGTTGTAAAAGACCTTAAACCAGAAAACTCTTAGAACTGATAATCTTTTCATCTAAGTAACAGAATACAAATCAACATACACCATACAGTAATAAACTTGCCAAGAAAGAAATAATGAGGGAAAATGTCATTCACAATGACTTAAAAAATAAATACCTAGTAATAAACTTAGGCAAAGAGGTAAACACCTCTATAATGAAAACTTCAACACAATGAATGAATAAACTTAAGAAGACATTAGTCCCATGCTCATGGACTGACAGAATTTATGTTGTGAAAATAATTTACATTACTGAAAGCAATCTCAAGAGTCAATATAATCTCTATCAAAATATCAGTGACATTCTTTAAAGAATGAAAACAATTCATATGGGAGCAAAGAACCTACACCATCAAAGGAATCCCAAGTACAATGAGTAATGCTGAGGGTACCGCCATACCTGATCTCAAATTATCACAGAGGGGGTCAGAGAGACAGATCAGCGGGTTAAAGCACTTATATTGCAAGACTAACAACCTGAGTTTGGATCCCTGAACCCAAGTAAAAGCCAAACGTAGTCTGTCCTCTGAACTCCACATCATGGAGAATAATCACTGCAAAGAGATAGCCTAATGAATATGGGGAAACACTTAACCTACTGTATACCAGACAGATGACTAATATCTAGAGTATAAAATGAGCCACAATATTAAGCAGCAACACCAAATCATCCAATCAGTATAAGCACTGATGAACTGAATAGACAGCTCTCAAAAGAAAAAAAAAAAATGCAAATGGCCAATAAATACATGGGAAAAAAATCTCAACATCATTAGTCATCATGAAAATGTATCTAAAACTGCTTTGAGATTCATTCTCACCCAGGCAGAATGGCTCTCATCAAGAAAACTAATGACAAAAATTGCTGGCAGGGATGTGGATTAAGAGGGACATTTATACACTGTTGGTGGAGGTGTAAATTTGTGAAGCTACTATGGAAATCAGTGTGTAAGCTCCTCAAAAGACTGAAAATAGAACTTCACACAACCTAGCTATACGTCTCTTGGGGATATGTCTTAAGGACTGTAAATCAACATACCATAAAGATGTATGGTGTTCTATTCACAACAGCTAAGAAATGCAACTAGGCTACATTTCTATCAACAGATGGTGTAAGTACAAATAAAAACAAGTAAATAAATAAAGTGTGGCACATAAACACATTGGAATTTTATTCAACCAGAAAGAAAAGTGGAATTTTGTCTTTTAAAAGAACATGGATTGAATTGGATACCATCACCAAAAAATAAGCAAGTTAGTAAAAAAAATGTCACATGTCTTCTCTCTCTCATTTGTAGAACTTATATGTAAAGGTGTGTGTGTGTGTGTGTGTGTGTGTGTGTGTGTGTGTGTGTGTAGGAAATCAATGGTGATCTCAAGGGGAGAGAGAGTAATGAAATGCATATGACATGAAAGCAGAAGGAGGAAGCATTTGAAAAGAGGAGGAAAAGCAGCCAGAGAGAAGGAAGATGCACCAGGAAGGGGGATGCATCGGAACAAATCATAATGACGATTTGGGAAGAAGGAGATCGAGAAAGAAGAGGAGCCGGGTAAGAAGGAAGAGGACAAGGAGTGGGAAAGGGCGTGAGAGAGAAGGAATCCATGCCAGATAGGGTGCTGCTACCTTTCAGAAACTCGGGAAAATGTGGACTCACTGCAGTCTCTAGGACACCCATGGCCTACCTTCCCGAACACACACCCAATTTACCAGCCAGAGTTATCTGTGCCACTATAATTTGGTCCCAGCAGGCGGTGCTGCAGGTCTCACAGCCCATGTCTATGACGTCCCTGCAGTGTTAATCCCTTGCGCGGGAGGAGTTAGTGTGAGTGGCTTCAGGATCTCAGTCAAGGTGAGGAGGAGGAAAGAAGTAGGAACTAGGAGCCAGGACTGCACAAGTCATCAAGGTGAAGGGCAAGCCCATTGCAGTCCACTACTTAGAGCAGGTTCAGCTATGGCTGTTGACATTGGGGACCCCAAGAGTGGTTTCCGCCACTGCGAAGTGGTTCTGTTCATCAATGAAGAGGTGCTGAGGAATGGTGGTGGCCCTGGCTTCTACCTGACCTTCCGTTCACGACCCTGGAAGGATATAGAAGATGGTCTGAGGTCTGTCGTGACCGATACCCACGTGCCGCGCACCATCAAGAGGGCTTGCGCGTGGAGTGCTCTGGCCCTGGGAGTGAGGGTGGCTACGAGGCAACGAGAAAAGCAATCAAAACGCGTCCAGCAGCTGCACTATCAGGTAGAAGAGCATGAGGCTGCCACCTGGACTTTGGCTACAGACCTACAAAGGCTGCGCGAGGAGCGTGATGAAGTGGTTTCTGAGCTTCGCAGTGCAAGAGACAATCTGAAGAAAGTGTTACAGGAGCGTGATATGCTGCACAAGAGGCTGATTGAGTTCGAGCTGTCACAGCAACTCCTCGCTGAGTCACAAGATACTGAGTATCCAGGTACTCTGCCGTGGCCTCTGATTAACAAAGAACATAGAGAGGCTCTTGGCATAGGCTTGCGGAGTGAGCAATATGCAGTGTCCCCGAAGAAACCCCAGATGGCATCTGTAACAGGTATGCCAAGGTCCTTGAACCTAGATCCCACAGCCCCTTCTACCAATGTCCTCTGCATTATTGCCAACGGCATTCCCTCCCACATCCAGAGTACTCTCAGAAGGGGAAGGAGCCACTCCATCCACTAGCTCCCTTGCCTGCAGTTGACTACAATGAGATTGTTGTTCCAGGGCCTGAGGGGTCAAACTCAGGGACAAAAACTAATCTAGATATAACCAGGGGAGTTTGGAAACATTGGTTCAAAACAAGCTCCTCATTGGATTTAGGAGGGGAAATAATGAATGGAGATGTGTTCCAAAGAGAGATCATTTCTTGAGGGCCCTTTCCTAATATGTATGTAAGATTTTTCTTTTATTTACTTCATACACTATTTAAAAACTCTTCAAGTGAAACTTTTCACTATGCTACTACTACGTAATAACCTCTGGCTTCTTTGTTTGCTGTGCGAGGGGATCTAACCCAGGGTCTTATGCATGCTGGGACAGTCAGTACTCTACCACTGAGCTATACCCTTAATCTGCAATTACCCTCTTTAGCACAGTAAATCTAATTGCACATATGGCATATCTTTCTCCAGATTCAATTATACATATATATGTGTATATATAATTTGTATTGTTTTGAGGACGATAAAAGTATACTGAATATGCCAATTTACCTTTAAAAGGAAAATGTTTCCAGTTGCAAGTATGTTTACCAGTGGACAGTAGTTTAATGCTATCCATTTAATTACCAGTGAGAAGAAACTGATGTTACAGAACATTCTCTTTTCTTTTTCTGTACTCCCCTAAACTTCCTTCTTGCATAACAACACATCTTCTGCAGGGCACAGCTGTTTTTAAAACATAAGATGCAGCATGCTCTGGGTACACGGCATTTTCTTTGAGAATGCTATTGCTATTTCTTTCATTTGTTTTTATAACATTCATGGATGCTATTCTCTGTGTCTCTAAGTTCTAGAAACTTTGCATGAAGCTGAAGAACTCCCAGCTTCCGATGTGTGAGTCTTCATGAAACACCCTTCAGCAGCAGCCTTTGCCTCAGTAAGACCGCAGCTAGCTGCTGCTACAAACAACATGAGGAACTGAGGAGAAGAAAACATCTGGGTATATATTTTAGGAAAACAAAAAACATGTACATTTTGTTAGAACTTAATCCGATGACATTGCAGAGTTCAAAGGGATTCAAAGGCCAATGTAAAATTTTAGAGGATAGCACAAGTTTGTTGGATTTCATTCATTAGTCCATTACTGATAAATCGTCGTTGTGTAGAAACTACAACTACATTACCCAGCATACACATTATAATCCTTTTGGGCAAGGTTGGTAGATGACAGCAGACCACATAATTTCAGACAGTGGATCATGGTATCCTTTGTCCTGTGTGAAATATAACCTTTGGAGAAACTCTATTGACAAAATGTCAAGATCCATTTCTGTAAGGCAGGGGCATTTAGATACTTCTATTTGGTTAATTTGGTCAACACCAACAGACAAAATAGTCTGGTTAAAATTTAATTTCTGCCTTTATCAATGGAATAATTTGATAATTAAGGAACATTTTTTTTTTTTGTTTTACTTTTCCAGACAAGGTTTCTCTGTGTAGCCCTGGCTGTCCTGGAACTCACTCTGTTGACCAACCTGGACTTGAACTCACAGAGATCCACCTGCCTCTGCCTCCCCAGTGCTGGGATTAAAGGTGTGCGCCACCACCACCCATCTGATAATTAAGGAAGAATTTAAAGAGCTATAGTGTTAATAGCAAATTTGATAAATTTTGTGTAATTAATAAACAAAGTTATTGATTGCTTGGGATTTGCTATGAGTTGGAACTGTATTGGCTGTTGACTGGTACATATAATATTCCTTGGTTAGTTGAGCAAAGAAGGAACATAATTTGGGATTCAAATTAGGTCAGAACTGTTTTCTCTGTCTTGCATATAATGTGGTCCGTGGTAAAACCAATAGAATAGCTGGGTCTGTTTTTTGTTTGTTTGTTTGGTTGGTTGGTTGTTTTGTTCTTTTGGGTTTTTTGTTTGTTTGTTTGTTTTGTTTTGTTTCAGTCAGTTTGGAGGGCAACATGAAAGAGACCTTCATGGGTGGATTTAAGTGAGCAATGTCTTCCTCTTCTTAGTCTCAAGTTAGACAAATGAACACTTTCAGAGTTTTTCTGGTGTTAATTGGTAATAGAGAGTGCCCTGGCCTGGTGTGTGTTCTGTGCAGTTTGTATTTCAGAGGTTTGCTCACTTTCTTTCCATCCATGGTGGAAAGTGAAGTTCAACCTCATTTCCTATTGGAATGCTGCTCCTGCTGTGATTATTAGCAAGAATCAGAGGCACCTCTGCAGGTGGAGCCTCCAATCCTGTGTAATTTTCTCAACTATCTTCTTTATCTGAATCAGCATGGTTCTTTGAAAGTGGGCATGTCTTCAGTTCCTGAGCTAGGAAAGTGAGGTGGGTATCTCTCCCTGATATCTGGGGTCAAACATCCCTTTGCGGAACAATGTTATTTTCCTGAGGCTCCCCACAGTCCCCTAATACATTATAAATCTCTCTTGCTTTTCTGCCCTCTGAGGCTTTGTCCCCATATTCCCATTCACGATTTCTTCCTTCCTTTCTTCCCTCCTTCCTTCCTTTTATCTGTCCTTCTCTTTCTTTCTTCCTTCCATCTTTTCTTCCCACTCCCACTCTCTCTCCTTCCAACACTCACTTTCTTCTCCCATACATCCATTTGTTTTGTATAGTTTACACTGGTCTTGAACTCGCTAACTAACTGACAATCTTGCACATACTTTTGCCTCTGCCTCCTGAGTGCTGGCACTGTGCATATGGCCCACCACTCCTGGGTTTACATGAAACTGAAGAATGCCACCCAGAGTCTTGTGCACACTAGATTCCAATTGAACTACATCCTCAGCCCCTTTCACACACACAATCTTACTAAGGTATTGATTATTCTGGAAAGCAGCCAGACTAGTCACAAGACAAATATTCAATAAGGCTTAGCAAGGGTATATGCTGACTACCTGCTTGGTATTGGTATAAGAAAGGGGGCAAATTACAAAGTGACCCTGCCTCCACAGCATTCTCATCCCTCAGATTTGCGATTACTTGCAGAGTCTGGAGTGCTAGAGAGGAATGAGTCCACAGGGGATATTAGCACATTTTATGATATTCTTCTGTGCTATCATAGCCCCTTGGTATGACAGAACACAAATAAGACTTGGGAGTATCATGGTCCATTTTAATATGAACTAATAAGGTAAAGATTACAGAGGAGTTCTCAAGTAGTACTTCATACATGCTGACTCCAGACATTCTGGAAGGGATGCCTAGCTGGCATGATAGATGCATGCCTAAATTTGAGGTTTGTCTTTGATTCACAGCATAATGTGGACAAATTATCCTATATCTCATTATGGTTGGTTCATTTAAACAGACCTTTCCATTTATACTCCAAGGTCCACCAAAATGTCTGTAGGTCTCTATGTGTACTTTTGAATAGACTAATGTGATTACCTAATGTTAGGGGATTTTGTTTTTCAAATCAAGTTGACGGAATCTTTGACTAGATCCATTTACAAAGGCTCTTTATCTTAGTCTGGACACATTAAGGCAAAGGCAGTAAAGTGTTTTGCTGGAGGGGGCTGGACTATGAAGCCAAGATTGTGCTCAAAACACTGTTCTGCTCTGCAACCTCAAACATGTTACTGAATATTCCAAGCCCCCTCCATCTCCCATCTGTGTTGTTCTCTGTAATAGTGTGGTAATAGTTTAGAGGAATAGCAACTGAGGACCTACACATATCATTAAGTGCTTAGTATTTGAAACCTTATGTCTATTATACTGTTAGTGGCTGCTAAGGTTTGGATATTGTTTATCCCTCCCTGAAAGCTTTGTGTGTTGGAGGCTTAGTTCCTCAGGATGCTTAATGGTGGGAGCCTTCAGTGGCAAGTCCTAGTTAGAGGTCCTTAGGGTATCAGGAAGCACACTACCAGAAGGGAACATTCTCCTCCTGGACTGAATTCTGAGAACATGTGGTAAAAATATGAGTATGAGTCCTGATTTTTTTTGGCTTCCTGTTTCAACACATTTTTGTATTATAAGACTTTCACTTGCTTGGTTAGTTACCCCAAGATATTTTATATTATTTCTGGCTATTGTGAAGGTGTTGCTTCTCTGATTTCTTTCTCAATCCTTTTGTCATTTGTATACAGATGGGATACTGTTCTATTGTTGTTGTTGTTGCTGCTGCTGCTGTTAATTTTGTATACATACAGCCACTTCAATAAAAGTATTTATAAGCTGTAGGAGTTTCCTAGTCGAATTTGGGGGGATGGCTTATGTATACTATCATATCATCTTTAAATAATACTTTGACTTCTTCCTTTCCAATTTGTATTTTCTTGATCTTCAGCTGTCTTATTGCTCCAGCCAGAATTTCAATTTCTATATTGAATAGAATAGGGAGAGAGGACAGCCTTGTCTTGTTGCTCATTTTAGTGGAATTGCTTTGAGTTTCTCTCCATTTAATTTGATGTTGGCTATAAGTCCTGTATATAGCCTTTGTTAAGTTCAGGTATGTCTCTTGTATCCCTCATCTCTCCGATACTTTTATCATGAAGTGGTTTTGGATTTTGTCAAAGGCATTTAACAAGATGATTGTGTGTGTGCTTTTTTTTTCTTTCAGTTTTTTATATGGTGGATTACATTGACTGATTTTCATATGTTGGAACATCCCTGCCTCTCTGGGATGAAGCTTACTTGATCATGATGGATGCTCTTCTTGATGTGTTCTTGGATTTGGTTTGTGAGGTTTATTGTTGTTGTTTTGTTTGTTTGTTTTTCAAGACTAGGTTTCTCTGTATTGCTTTGGAGCTCTGTGGACCAAGCTGGCCTTGAACTCACAGAGATCAGCCACTTTTGCCTCCCAAGTGCTGGGATTAAAGGCACAAGTGTCACCAGCATCCAGCTGATTCATGAATATTTTGAGTATTTTTACATCTGTGTTCATGAGAGAAATTGGTCTGTAATTTTCTCTCTTTGTTGAGTCTTTATGTAGCTTGGGTACCAGGGTGACTGGTACTCATAAAATGAATTCCTCCATGTCCCTTGTGTTTCTAATTTGTGGAGTAATTTGGGGAGTATTGGTATTTTTAGTATTTGCTCTTCTTTGAAATCTGATCTTAACTTTGATAATTGGTATCTGTCAAGAAACTTTCCATTACTTTTAGATTTTTCAAATTTTCTGTAGTACAGATATTTGAAGTATGATCTAATGATTCTTTTTTTAATTTTTTTCTTATTTTAATATCAATCCCAGTTACCTCCTCTCCCTCCCACGACCCCCAAATCCCCTCCCATCCCACCCCACCCCCACTCCACAGGGAGGGTCATGCCTTTCCAGAAGGGACCATCAAAATATGTAAAGTCATTTGGAGTAGGGACTAGGCCCTCCCTCCAGTCTCTAGGCTAAGGGATTATCCCCCCATGGGGGATGTGCTCCCAAAGTCCTTTCGTGCACCAGGGATACATCCTGATTTCACTGTCAGAGGTCCCTTAGACTGCTCAGGCCTTCTGAAATCCACATTCAGGGGGTCTGAGTCTGACCTAATGATTATTTTTAATTCTTTGGTGTCTGTTATATTCCCTTTTCATTTCTTATTTTTATTAATTTGGATATTCTCTCTCTATCTTTGGGGTTTGTCTACTTTGCTGATTTTCTCAAATAATCAACTTTGGTTCATTCTTTGTATTGTTCTCTTTTTCTATATTATTGATTTCAGCCCTTAGTTTGATTATTTCTGGTCATCTATTCATCTTAGATGAGCTTGTTTCTTTTTATTCTACAGCTCTCAGGTGTACAATTAAGTTGCTATATATATATAGATCTCTGCAGTTTCTTTATGAATTTGGTGCTATCAATTTTTCTCTTAGAGCTGCTTTTATTGTCTCCTTAAGTTTGGGTGTTTTTCACCCATTTTCATTGAATTCTAGGAAGTCTT